TGCAACAGACCAGTTCCCCAAATCATTGCAGCAGTCACAATGTCCTTGAAATTCCAATGTAACAAACCATCAATCAAACAATTGAGTTAGACTGTCACAAAAAAGCAGGTTTATCCAAGGATGACGAGGTAAAAAACATTGCAGTGACCTTTATTCACAAAACTTACTAATAAGAGGATAAAAAGCTCTTCAAAGGTGTGTCAAAAGCTATCTAAGACATATTAGACAATTCACCTCGCTCGCCAGTAAGCCCCTTTGAATGAAGGAAACCTGAAATGTGAATCGAAACGTGTTTTTTTCTCACTGTACATGCCTACAATTATGATGCAGCGTTGCAGGCACAGTTCCCTAAAAGCTATTCTTTGTCTTCATCTCTACCATCTTGTGTTCCTTCCACTGATGCAACTCCTCGACTTGATAACTCTTCACTTCGTCTTCACTCTGTGTCCACTAAAAACGACGGAAGCCAATAAAACACCACCGATAGTCTCCTAAAGCCACGCCACCAATTTCATATAGGAGCATTTAATGTTAGGACACTTTGCCAAATAGGACAACAAGCATCACTAGCTAAGACCCTGGCATCTCGAGCCATTGATGTATGTTGTGTTTCAGAAACACGCATACAAGACCCAAGTGTGGTTATTCACCTAACCCCACCTGGCCAACAGGATGAATCTTCAAAATTCACCTTGAGGGTGTCAGGAGATGCCACAGCTAGTTCACGAGGATTAGCTGGCGTAGGGATAGCTCTGAGTACTAGGGCAGAAAAGACATTGCTTGACTGGATCCCGGTAGATAGCCGAATGTGTGCTGTCCGTCTGAACGGATCAGTAAGAAGGAGAAAGGACTGCACTACTCGCCGATGCCTTTTCGTAATCTCCGCCTACGCCCCCACTGACTGCAGTTCGGATGAAACGAAGGATGAGTTCTACCAAAAGCTGTCTAGTTTGGTGAGAAAGGCTAAACGCTCAGATATAGTCGTTCTAGCTGGTGACTTTAATGCTCAAGTAGGGAAATTGTGTCAATCTGAGAAGGATGTCGGTGGCACCTATGGAGTTCCGTGCCAGCGAACCGACAACGGTGACCGTCTCCTACAGTTCTGTTCAGATAATCATTTGTTTCTTGTAAGCACTAACTTTAAACACAAGGAGAGACACTGTTTAACCTGGCGACCCCCATCATCAAACCAACGCTGGACACAAATAGACCACATAGCAATAAGCTATCGTTGGCGTGGGTCGGTAGGAGATTGTCGCTCCTTCTGGAACACGTGTGTAGATACCGATCACGCACTGGTCCGGGCTCGTGTGTGCTTACGACTGAACGGACGTAGGAAACAGCTGGCGGTAAAACCATCACGTCCCCAGCTCGATCAGGAAACTAAATCCCTATTTGAGGAAGAACTAGCTAAACGCATATCTGAATTCGACAGCTGTGCTCACCCTGGAGAAGCCTGGAAGAATATTCAGTCAGCTATAGATACAGCTGTAAAAGCTGTGAATAAGGCAAATCCAAAGGTGAGTAAAAACCACTGGATTTCGACTGCCTCATCCGAACTGATAGATGCTAGAAGACTTATTCCGGCGAGCTCCGAATTCAATGAGGAGCGAAAGCTGCACAAAAGGAAACTTACTAAAAGTCTCCGCAAGGACCGTGAACAGTGGTGGGTGACAAAGGCAAAGAGATGGAAAAAGCATCGGCGATAGGCAACACTAGGCAACTCTTTAGACTCATCAGAAACGGTGGGAGAAGGCAATCATAAGTGAGACTATTTCTGAGAAAAATGGCTCCTTAATTAGCTCTCAGGATAGACGCCTTGAACGCTGGAAAGAACACTTTGAGGACAATTTAACTTGCCTACAGCCACACTGAACCTCCCCCATCCACACACACCCGAATGGGATATAGACACTGGTCCGCCGTCTGTAGTGAGGTCACAAAAGCTATCAGTAATTTGAAACGAGGCAAAGCGGCAGGACCCGACGGAATTATTCCGGAGGTGTTTAAATATGGGGGTGACATACTAGTTTGTAGATTAACTGAGGTACTAGGCAAAGTCTGGGAATCAGAGACAGTCCATCAGACTGGGGTAAGTCACTTATTATACCGATATTCAAGAAGGGAAACAAGTCCTCGTGTGATAATCATAGGGGGATCAGCCTAACGAACATAGTCTCTAAAATCCTAGGCTCAGTAATCATGCATAGACTAAGCAGAACTCGGGAGGAACAGACAAGGGAAAATCAAGCAGGCTTTAGACCAGGTAGAGGGTGCATAGATCATATCTTCACTCTTCGACAGATTCTAGAACATAGACACACTTTTCGGCGTCCAACAATTGTCATATTTCTTGACTTGAAGGCGGCCTTCGACTCCGTGGATCGAAAGGTACTATGGCAATGTCTGACTGTGAAGGGAGTGCCAAGAAAGTACATTGCACTAATCAAGGCACTCTATTCAAACTCACGTAGTCGTGTAAGGGCTTATGGGGAATTGTCATCTGAATTGGTAACAACCAGTGGTGTCCGACAGGGATGTCCACTTTCCCCATTTCTGTTTAACTTCATCATAGATATGCTAATGGAAGTATCCTTAACTGAACGTAATGACTTAGGAATCGACTTGTTACCAGGGAATAGTCTTATGGACTTAGAATATGCAGATGACATAGTCCTGTTAGGGGAGGATGCTGACAAAATGCAGAGTCTTCTGAACACCTTGAGCAGCAATCTTCGTATGTTTGGCATGCGATTCGCCCCTACAAAATGTAAGATGCTGCTACAGGACTGGACCACGTCAACCCTAACTTAGTGATAGGGAGTGAAGTGATAGAACATGTTGACCACTTCACCTATTTGGGAAGTTGTATTAGCACCAACGGACTGATTGGCGATGAAATCTCAGCACGGATCCGAAAAGCTCGAGCTGCTTTCGCTGACTTACACCATCTCTGGCGTAGGCGTGACATCCGGTTATCAACCAAGGGACGTGTGTACTGCTCATCAGTTCGCTCCGTCCTTCTCTATGGCTCTGAAACATGGCCAATACGCGTTGAAGACATGAAAAGGTTGACTGCTTTCGATCATAGATGTCTGCGATCTCTGTCTCACGTTAGGTGGTTTAATAAGGTAAGTAATGTTGACGTTAGGCGTAGAGTGTTGGGCAAAGAGGGAAAATCAATCGACGAGGCTATAAAGTTACATAGACTAAGATGGCTAGGTCACGTGCTGCGCATGCCTCCCCCGACGGGCATTACTAGCTGATATAGGTGCAGGTTGGAAAAGAGCCAGTGGTGGCCAAACAAAAACATGGCCTCATCAATCCATGAAATCCTTGACAGTTAAACTGAGTCAGGTAGGGAGATGCAGACTCCCGGGTTGGGGCCCTCGGGACTCTAGGAATCAATGGCTGGAGACAATAGGTGACATGGCTCAAAATCGTTGTCAATGGCGCAGATGTATTCAGTCTCTGTAATCTTTCATATTCCTTTCTACCATTACCCATTCTGTTTCACTCTTATACTTGTCAAACTCTATTGATTCTCTTCACTCATCTTCTTGTCTACCTCTGTGTGCTATTTGGAACGTGGCAACTCGAACTGCTGCACTTCGGTGCCAAGTTCTATGTTGAATCCAGACAGACAGAGAGACAGATAGAAGACAATGCGTAGACAAGATGATACGGTTCACTGACTTAATAATTTAAAAACCTTTCGAGTTAGACCACGATCTGACATTAGTTGTGTTACAACAGAAGGCAAGATACAGAAGCCAAGGTATATTTTTCATCAATCAAACCACTGTTTATATATGTACAGTTTGTATTCTTTAACCAATCACTGAGTGTGTGAGTTCGGTTTACACGAAACGACACGAAATAGAATGTTCAAATATGCATAATATTCTTTTGCCAATGCAGTAATGAAGTGTGTGAATAACATTTCGACTCCAACATCAAATAGAATGTTCAAATAGATGTTATCGTATTCTGTTGCTAATGCAGACTTGAACTGTGTGTTATATATGTGAGAATAATATTCCATTGGCATAAATTGTCTGCATCGCACCACTACAGTTGGAGAAGCATTGAAAACAAGGGAGTACTGTACATAAATGTTTCATAAAGGTTTTTGACACTTCATCAAAGATGCACGCATGACCCCAGGACTTCCGGGCTCCAGGACGAGCTCACTGACCATTCATTAAGCCACTGGGAAGAAATCCAATTATCCATCAATTCTGCTGATTTGTAATATCTAACTCCACTGCCAACCAACCGATGTCATAGGCCAGTAGCTGTCTTCACGCAAGACTTGACGAACCCCACTGGTCAAAAATTGACGACCACAACTAAGCAGTCCATACACCTTCCTTACGTGAGGCTAGATAAATCCAATAGCCAAAGACCCTCACAAAAGAACGAAACAGCTGTCCAGTACTCCTTGGCTTTCAGTGGTTTATTAATTGAAGTCATTTCATGATCAAATCAATTGTATCCTTGGAAAGCAACGCTTGAAAATTAATCTTATACCTTAACTAGTGACTAGTGACTACAGGACGAAGTTGTCCGCTGTTTTTTAGTCGGAATTTGTGATCAGCGGGAGTTCAAAAAGTTAAACATGCAGATACACACTCTCGTCAAAGACGTTGGCTGGCACTGGTGATATACATCGCACACTGGCAGGGGTTAGAAGTCACTGGCTTCAATGTATGCAAAATTCTTGTTTCATATAATCACCAAAACACCAGACAGCAGATAAATCTCTTGTCGTAACTCCTTTTTAAAGTTGTATAGTTATTTAGGCGGTTTATATAGACACAATGTAGATTGGACAATAGAGGTCAAAGGTTGTTGTCAGTTAATGTCTAGCGAATTCACACTGTATGAGTAATAACCATGTTTGAAAAATTGATAAAAATCCTACATAATTAAGAGGGTTGACAATATACACATTTTCACAGCTTTTTTCCCATCAGGTACAAAAAAATTTGGTGAAGACCCTCAGCCACACGGTTATTTAGAGCTATATGCTCAGAAGAAGTAATTGAAGATGAATTAAGCATTGTGTATGATCACGGTTTGACTCTTGTGATTTATTATTGCATGATCATTGCGTAACGAAGGGGATTACAAGATGGATTGGGAATGTGTAGCTACCTCGTTGGACCGCTGGAATTCACGTAACACTCCAATAGATAAGGATCCCACTTCACCTTCCAGTGTTTGCAGAATAGAAATCACTCAATTTGGTGAATGTTATATTTGCAAACTGTGCAACGTGAGTTGTACCAGCAAGATAGCCTTTACTCAACATGAAATGGGAGCAAATCACACAAGAAGAGTCGTTCTGAATGCGCTTTTCTGTCAGGAATGGAATGAAAACTCCAATACCACTGAGCAAAATGCATCTTACTGCAGTGAAACGTTTTACGAAAGTCAAACATCTGGACAGATCCGTATAGAGCAACAATCCACTGGGAACACAGATGAAACCTACTTCTGTGAACCGTGTGGTCTTAGCTGCAATTCTAAGAAACAACTTGACTGTCATTTACAGGGCAAAAAACACTTCAAACAACTCAGGCAGTCAATTCTAAATTGAGTTCACAGTTAAACCAGTGTAATGAATCTGTATTGACTTATTTTATTCAATATCCAATATCATCTTTACGAGAAAAAAAAAAAAAAAACCGTATGATCAAAAATAGCTATCCCGTAAAATTTATCAAAAAACACAAGACAAACGAAAACGGAAAAGGACTACTCACTCTCTGTAAACAAGAAGCCACTTTATATACAACTACAATTCGAGAGCTATATACCAAGCGAGATAATTACGAGGAAATTAAGAAACTCAATCCAAAGAACTTTTGATGCTGACGAACTACACGTATTATTCTCTACACGACCGATGGCGCTACCTCGACTGAAAGATGAAGTACCTAGACTTGACTAGCCACTTCAAATTGTATCTACCAATCGAACTGTGCTGATAGTGGAGCAAGTTTTATTGGCCGTCGCTCTAGGAACTTGATTTTTCATCTCACTTGAGAACATCTCCCACTATGGCCGAGTAAAGTGTAGTAGTTACAACCATTAACAGTTCGATATTAGACCATCTGGTGCAAACCGACAGGCCACAAATCCAGCCATCCAGTATTGAAGAATCCTTCTCTATCATCTACCGGATGCTTAATAAATTGCCAAACTCATCACCAAAGCACCACATGCTCCAAACATCAGAGGCTACTGGAATTCGCCTCAAACAACCAGTGATCTGTGTTCAAAAGAAGCAAGTCTAGCTAGCCACTACTACTGCCCTGGCTTGCCTTCAGTAGAGACAATGAATTCAAGAATTTGTATAACTATCTTTCTTAATTTTTCTGACATTCAGCTTATTGTTATGTTGATGCTACTGAACTGTAATCTATCAATATTATTGATTCGATGTTATTTAAACAACATTAATGTTGTTCGCAACACTAATTCATTCATTCACTATAATATTTGTATAACTGCAGAACCTGATGATGAAGGGGTTATCGAAAAGAGTACTCTTTATTCAGTATCCATTTTTTTTGATAAATAATCGTTTGAAAATAGCGTAGATAAAAAAAATAAGCTACTGAGGGATTGAAAAAACGGGTTGTAAGAAGAAACACAGCATTAAAAACGTACTACATTGGGCTAACTGGATTCCATTACATTCCAGTGATTGCATGGTATGCCTGCCAATTCTGCTTGTAACCTAAAAGATCCTGAGTTCCATCCCTTCTGAGACAGGATCATGTGTGTGTGTGTGTGTTTACTGCTAAAAAGGTCCACAATAGAATGAGCAGTTCCCGATTTTCAAGGGGTTTTTTTTCTAACTAATGTCACCTGGTTTTCAAACTTAGCACTTATCGAATCCCGAGGAAATTAACGCTTGAAAATGTTAAAGCTGCTAAGACTATACACACATATGCATACACACACACATGATTTTAGCTAATTCACTTATTTTTACCAACTTAACTTTTCCTCCTAAAGTGAAAAGAACATTGTTGCATGATAAGAAAAAATGTCCTGTAACGAGATTAATATTATCATTCTTTTTTTCTTTCATGGGCATACTACGACGCTGCACGTCGTTATATTAGCAGTTAGTAGGATAAGGAAGGAAGGAAGGTAGATAACTTCAATGTTGACGTATACACATATATAACACGGAAATAGATAACAGTTAACAGACGCATAAAAATAGCTCTTTTTTGATGAAATGTTGAATTTCACTTAATAATAATAATAATAATCACATGGTTTTATTCAAACTATGACAGAATATTTAATAATGCAACAGTTCTGCCCATTGTCAGCGCTATACATTATATATATATATATATATATATATATATATATATATATATATATATATATATATATAGATATATAAAGTATACGCAGGGTTGAAAAACGTTTCTGATGAGAGAGGGAGAGAAAGCAAGCGGAATCAAACTTGTTGCAGTCAAATAGAGGCATCATTCACTGATAACAATGATAGTAAAAGTCGATAGGAACAGAAAGCCTACAAGCAATCCATCCAATAATGATGAATTTCCTGGCTAACCGTATGATTATGCATCGTGTTTACCTGATTATGATATTATGCTTTAAAACAAGAAGGAATCTACCTTTAAGCTGATGAACATTAGAATAATATTAGAATACCAGAAATAAACACTGAAATACATCTCGGGAAAAATGCCCTGCTATGTTTCTCAGATAAAGCAGACAAATAGGTGAAATACTCAACTGTACTAGCAATACTCCAATCACTCACTGACAAAAGAAACTGTTTGCAGACACTGTTCACAAGAGAGTTCAAACACACACACACACACACTGTAGCACTGCAGAGTTGAAAAGAATGGAAGAAAAATACCTACAAATGGTCTTCAAAAAGGAGGAATGGATATATCGACACAACTTCATCAAAAAAGTGTTTAAAATCGAATCAAAACACCAACAACAAGGAACCAACATCAAAGACCACAAGAAAATTCATCCTACCAAACATGAAAAATATCTCTGAAATAATAGCTAGAATACTGAAACCGTTTGACATAGATATAGCACACAAGCCAACCAGCCAGCCAGTCAAATCACTTAATTCGATACTGTGCACACCGAAAGATCCGACAGAAAAAGAAGTGAGGTAAAATTAATACCATTTACAAAATAAATTGCATGTATGAACTGTAACAGACATTACATCATCCAAAGTGGGCGTCCCCTTCGAATCAGAATCCAAGAACACAAATCAGCCGTGAAAAGACACGATATATATTCCTGTTTCATATCAATGCATATAGACAATTATGGACATCAGTTAGACGATTGGGATAATGTCGAAATCTTAGACAGAGGAAACACCAAAAGTGCAGTCAGAGAATTCTTAGAAGCCTGGTACTCAAACGAATATGCAATTAACAAAAACACGTTAATATAGACTAAATATACCAACTAATAAGTGCGTCGGTAGCACAGCAGTTAGGACGCTCGCCGACCATGCACATGGTCCGGGGTTTGATCCCCGGCCACTTACGCACTCCCTTACCTCGCTAAGCCGGAAAGGTCGGGCATCAGGTTAGCGACCCTATTCTGTAAAATCAAACACTGCTACAGATACTTCAAGCCACTAGCTTGAAGCCCTATGTTCCACTGGGGGAACGTGAAGGTAAGAGAAAAAATACCAATTAATAAAAAGTAAATCATGTGACCAGAAAGTTTAAAATCCAAGTCAGTAGAAAATGATCAATACAAATATGTAAAGATGGTTACCGGGAGACGCAATTCTGTCAGTCATGAAGAAATTTAAATCAGTTCACTTAATGCTGAAAATTAAGCCGAAGATGTTGTCCAGGAGGAGGACGACGAACATTCGGCAACTAAACCAACCAGCTAAGAGAACACTATTAATTGCAAATCATCCATTTGAGCTACAAATTTTCTTTATTAGTCCTATGTGCTTTCATACGGTATTCATTCATTGGTAATCGTCTAGTTCCTTTAGGTCGTCATGTAATTCTGTGTAGTTATTCTTCCTCAAGTACACATTTCTATGCAATATATCTTTCCTTTTCAGTTTTTCTTTTCTTTCCCTTTTTCCTTCCTTTCTCTTTTCGTATATCTAAATAAGCTGAACTGTTGTACATCTGAAAAGTTTTCTGCTGAAACACAGTCAGTCATGTGCCTAGCCCTAGTGACAATAATATCGCTTAAACCATTCAGACATCGATAACAACTGAGATAGGCATCAATTGATTGTGATTAAAAATTGTGATTTTGTCTAACAACACTGACACCATAGGTCAGTTAGCAGAATAAAGCAGTATAAAGTTGTAAAATAAATGAAATGGATAACTTACACAATAAGGCAAACAAAAGAAAGCAGTACTCACCTGTCCAGCTCTAGGACTTAACAGAGACAATTCTTGAGCTAAGAATTGAAAAGCGCTATCTTCTTGGTTTGTATCTGGAAGATATTTTAATAAAACATTATGCAACATAAGATAAGATAATAGCTTTATTCCACAACAGTACATGTGATACACAATGAAATTCTCAGCATTTTTACTACAGTATTGCATCCAGTTAGTACATTAACAATAAATAAAGTTCTACATAGATTATGAGTATTCTCAGTTAGTTTTGACTACAACATATTGGCATGTCGGTAGCAAAGCCAAAATTTAAACAGAGTGTTTGAAGGTGTTAGAAAAGTAGATACTACAAGCATATTTACTACCGCAAGCGGTAACAAAATGGTCGAGATATACAGAGTGTGAAATAACGAACAAGAATGTTTTAAGTAGAGTTTGTAAGGAAGAGACAAACAAAACAGCACATAACAAAAATAAATACAGAAAGAGAAAAAAAAGGTAGAGAGAAAACGTTGTACCTATAAATGATATGAGTTGGAAAGACGAGATCCAATTGTTCTACTGACTATTTAATCAGTTAAAGGTTTCACACCTAATGCTTTTTTTATCACACAGAACACGAGCTAAGTAGGGTATGGATGAGTTTTTGTACTTACTAGTGCGGGCATACAGTTTCCTATATAGGCTTCTGGTTTTCCCTGAAGAGATACAAGGGGAGCGTTGTGAATGTAGAGGGTGTTGTGAGTCAGATAAAATGGATTTTGTCAATTTTTTACATGAGTCCATGTGCCTGTCCACCAGAATATTAACAAGCTGGCTAAGTGGCACACTGCTTACCCCGCTGACAATCTTTAACATCCTGCGTAATAAGGTATAGTCTTTCTTCAGTAGCCCTGGAAAAACTAAGGGGAACAATAGAGAATGATAGTCAGAATACGGGAGTTAACGAATTGTAGGAGTAAGGGTTGGGTGGATTATTCAAGAATGTCTTAACTTCTTGATGTAGAAGGTAAGACGGAATATTTTCTTAGGAATCGTCAAGATATGAGACGACGAGGAAAGATCAGAAGATAGAGTGACGCCTAGGTATTTAATTTCCCACTTGGTTTCAATTTCAGTGCCATCTATGTTGCACACTCGTGAGTGGTAACCAGTTTTCTTTGGGTCAGATTTGTGCCTAAAGGTGAAATCAACTGTTTGGCATTTGGAGGGTTTAAGGTGAGACCGTTTTCCTTGGACCATTGGCTGATTTCTGATAAGAAGCCATTTAGTTTAGAGCAGGCACTTTGACATTTGACAGGTAAAGATACAGTTAGGTCATCAGTATATTTGACAAAGTTAATGTCATTTGAAGATGGTAGGTCATGTAGAAAGAATGAAAACGGAAGTGGGGAGAGTACAGCACCTTGGGGGACATCAGCTTCAGCAACAAAAGCAACAAAATATTTTAAAAAACTTATTAATAACAACGGATTCAAGCTCTATTTTTAGCCGATTTTATATTATTAAAACACAGTAAAAACTGATATTCTACGTACTATACTATGAACCATATTGATTACATAAGAACTGATCGAAGTAAAAGGTGGAATTCAGTGGATCTGAGACCGATCGACTGAAAACTGAATGTTTTAGCCAATGAATCACATATCCCTAGGTTAGTTATTTTAACGTTAAATTAAGTAATCTTAAATGTGAAGGTCAAAAGTAAATAAATGGATATCACACTCAAATGACCAATCAGATCTATCCGCACTACAAAAATGGATACTTTGCATTATTTTCGTTGCAAGTTACACCCTAACCCTAATCGTAATCCAATACGTTACAGACTTTTACCAACACCTGCCTTCACTGGCTTCATACTGGAGATCAAATGGCCAGTGAGAAAAAAATTATCAATTAGAAACTGTACTGAGAACAAACCAACCAACAGCCAGTCGTTCAACAAATATGTAGGGTAAATATGGAGATGGATGGATTGATCAGGCATATGCTAGGGAGGCTGTCGAATGATATTGCCTACAATGCAGGTCATCGCTCGAGTGTAATCCAAATGGGAGATGAGGATTGGGTCGTCGGTGCGACAGTGACATGGAGGATATCATGCGAAGAGAGATGAGAGATGTGTTGTTGAAGCCCTATGTACAACTTGGAACTTAAGGTAATAATAATAATAATAACATAAATATCAAGATCTATTCATCCAATTGTAATGACGTAGATGCCTCAGGTGTTTGACTTTCAATCACTGAGTCAAAAGTTCAAACCCGGTTCATACTATCGAAGTTTGACCAGCTGAATAGTATCGTTGGCACACTAACTATTGCAAGGAAATGTAATTGGGTGTTTAATTGACATTTCATATTTTCCTTTTTAATCCTTATATAATATATATAAACATAGACAAGACGGAGGTTATGAAAATAACCAACCAACAACAGCAACAACATCCAACGTCAATCACCATCAACGGGAGGGATTTGAAAGAGGCTACTTCATTCACTTATCTAGGGAGCATTGTCTCAACTACAGGAGGAGCGGACGAGGATGTCAAATCGAGAATCGGGAAGGCGAGAAACACATTCATCAGCCTGAAATCAATCTGGAAATCTTCGTCACTCAGCCAGAATCACCAACAAAATTCGGATTTTCAATACAAACGTAAAGTCAGTTCTTCTATACGGATCAGAAACTTGGCGGGTCACAAAGAATATTTCCAAAAGGTTGCAGACCTTTATTAACAACTGTCTTCGCTCTATACTGAAGATCAGATGGCCGGAAAGAATCACCAACAAGGAATTATGGGAACAAACAAAGCAAGAACCAATCGCCAACTAACAAATATGCAGGAGAAAGTGGAGATGGATCGGACACTCGCTGAGGAGACCGCTGGGTGACATCGCGCGCCAAGCCCTCGAGTGGAACCCGAAAGGGAAGCGGCGTGTGGGACGTCCAAGGGTGACATGGAGGAGATCGTGTGAAGAGGAGTTGAAAGAATATGGATTAACATGGATGCAGGCGAAAAGTATAGCAGAAGACAGAAGGAAATGGAGACGTGCAGTTGAAGCCCTATGTTCCACTAGGAACCCAAGGGAGCAATAATAATATATATATATATATATATATATATATATATATATGTTCAGAAACATAAGAAAAGTGGAACAAACTTATAAGTTAGATGAAAGAATGAACATTTTAGTAATTATTAGGTGATTGCAGGCAGTCAGCTACAGGAAGCATTGCTTGACCTAGGTCTCATGCTTGTTGGTACTCACCGGTCAGCAAAATGTATCCGAAACCTTAAAAGGGATTTATGTCCCTTCTGAGATTCAAACCCGTGTTAGCCAGTGAGCTATTCAGGCTCACAACTAACCTCCTGTAGGACTGTATCGGATATTTTGATTGGAAACCAGATACTGTGATTAGTGTCATATATCTAGAGACCTTTGTTCGATTTAGACTGAATTTTGTCAGTCAAGTTTGCAATGTGACCCCTACCACCACCAGATGGCTAGATGGCTTACTATTTCGTTTCAGTAGACTTAAATAAAAAACATAAACATGAATTACTTTTTATATCTGCACTCCCACCGATTGCTGATACAGACAAATTCGACTTTGAGATAGATGAACGCTGACAGAAATCCTCACCGCGTATTTGTAATTCGAAAGGCTGTACTTTCAAAAACCATCAGCAAGAGAGAAAAAAGAGAAAAGAGCAGGGAAATCGATGAAATAAAAATTTTAAAAAAAAACACTTTTGAGAGAAAAATGTTGCAAAACATAATAATGGCATTACAAATTCTCAATTACCTATGACTTTAAAGAAATAACCAAGTATCTGTATTGAAAATTCCGCTTTACCATCAGCCCAAACGGGTCGATCTCTGACGAAATCTCAGCACGGATACAGAAGGCTAGTTTCGCATATGCCTGTTTACGCCGTCTCTGGCTTAGTACGCGTGATATCCGGCTGGCTATCGAACAAAGGGCGTGTGTACTGCTCATCAGTCAGCTCCGTCCTTCCTTATGGCCAACTGTGAGATTGGTTACTGAGAGTGGAAGACATGAAAAGATTAGCTGTCTTCGACTAAAGGTGCCTACGTTCTATCTCCCATATTAGGTGATAGGCGTAATAAAGTGAGCAATATTGAGGTTAGCCATCGGTCGAGTGCTAGTTAGGTGGGAGGGTAAATCAATCGAAAAGGCTGTGAAGTAACACCGATTAAGATGATTGGGATGTGTGTCACGCATACACGCCTAGTCATAGCCTTCCTCGACAATGAGCAATGTTAGCTGACTGACATAGGTTCAAGGCTGGTAAAGACCTAGTCAGTGGCGGTCGAACCTAAACATGGCTTCACCAGTCCATGAAATTCACAACAGTTAGTTTAAGACAGCTAACCACGTAGGAAGGTGTAGACTTCCTGACTGGTTAGTTGAGGTCCTCGGGACGGTAAAAACCAATAACGGGCTAAAAACAATTGGTGATATGGCTGAAAATCGTTCTCAATGGCTGGCTGGTGCAGATGCATCCACTCCTTGTGACTTATAATTCCCAATGAAACTATATTGTTCTTCGTTATTACTATTCGTTTGTATCATATCCGGACGAACAAGTCAAGACTACGAGGGAATTCATCTGGTTTCTGTATACACAAATAAAATGTACACGAATGTTACCTTTTAGTAAACATTTATAATACATTATACATAATTGTGCTGTTTATATAATAGTTTTTTTATTAAAAAATAAAGCATATTAGAGGCATAATATATATATGGCTGTCAAATGAATACACATACATACATATACACATTGAAATATCTAAAATAAAATCTCACCTTAGATTTATTAGAACTACTCGTTGTTGTACAACCAGTCTTTTTTGAATGACTCGTTTTAAGAATAGTATTATCCTCTAGTATGTGTCCGGTTGACTCTTCTTGTGTTATTCGATTCTGTTTACTTGATTGATTCGTGGCTGGTTCAGTGTCATGATGTGCGATTGTCCTGGAATGAATTGGATAACCTCGAAGTACTTGATCTACTGACCAGGTAAGTAAATGTGTCAATTCTGAAATCAATAAAAAAAATTTTCAAATATTATATAAACACATGCATTTTAATGGCTGTAATTAGTAATATGAAATCTTTATAAGATACTATACTAAGTTGAACTACATAAGAGATGATGATTTGAGCGACTATTACTTTGCAGTTGCTCACACTATGGAAGTTGATTCTTTCTAGAAAGAGGCCAGGAGAAAATAGCTTCAAATCCGTTGTACACAGGGCGTTTAAAGCAGTTTTTTGTGTCCCCATACGAAGACGCTACTGCCAGCTAGCTAGCTATGAAACACTGAGAGATTAGTCGAGATGAACAATTTTCGCTCGCAGTCGACTTCCTGTTAACTAAACACCCCGCTTCTAGAGCAGACAGGCAGCATAAATAGTCTGTTAGTCGTCCGAGAGAAACATATTACCACTGTCACGACTTCACTTTCAGATCCCAACCCCCCCCAAAAAAAATACTGTAAGCAAATTACACTATGGTGGTAAATGATATTAGTTTAACTGCTATCCAAACAACCTTCCTGGCATCGTGAAACCCTAAAAAACGTTCGCCTCAGTCAGAGTAGCTCCTTTGCAACGAGTAAGTCTAGTTACCACGTCAAAGTAGTAGCTATCCCGTAGCGAAGCGTTATTCACTAGACCACAGAGCCACAAAAATGAAGCTTCAAGATGCTAAAACTGCTATAACGCGACGTGATGAGAAGACGACAAGATCTGTGACGAATAAAGAACACTAGCCCCTTGAACTGCGTCGGTGGCACAGTGGTTAGGACTCTCGCCGACCATGCACATGGTCCGAGGTTCGATCCCTTGCCGACGCACACCTGATATCTATGGTCGGCCTGCAATAGGGCGTCGGTGGTATAGTGGTTAGGACGCTCGCCGACCATGCACATGGTCCGGGATTCGATCCCCGGCCACCGACGCACTCCTTTACCTTGCTAAGCCAGAAATAATGCTGGTAAAGAGGAAAGGTTGGGCATGAGGCTGGCAACCCCATCCTGTAGAAATAAACACTGTTACAGAAACTTCAAGTCACTAGCTTGAAGCCCTATGTCCCACTGGAAACGTGATGGAAAAATTATTATTATTATTAGACCCCTGAACAAATAGAAAATTAAGCACAGATATAAATACTGTATGTTTGACACCACAAAAAGGGATGCTAAGACGAAAACAAAAACCATGGCATTCAAATCTTGTATCTTTCTTTTTCTTAGAAATTATGACTACCTAATTGTTTTGTAACGAATAAATACTTTTTTAACGTTCATTAAGATAAAACCTAATTCCCTCTCTTTCTCTCTTTGTCTCGTTTTGACTTAGGCATGTCACGGCATAGCAGCTTAAAACTAGTAAAATAACTTTATACAATCCTAGAAAAACGTTTATCTCTTATCATTGTCATGACTAACTACTCTGTTAAAGACAAAACGGTAAAGAACTAATAAAATTGGTAGACAAATTCAGTTGTATTTAATTCTGTACCAAGCTTAGAATAAATAAATACATATCTAAACTGGTTACTATAACTAAAAATTGTTTCGTAATTAACTAGATGAGATTCAAGTATTGGTTCCTAGGGATTAGATTGATTGGTTACAGAATTTCATCGTGAGCTGAAATCAGTTAGAGAACCATTGGAAAACCTGCATGGAGTACTGGACAGCTGTTTAGTACAAGTTTTGGGACTCTTCATCAGTACGCACCAACCACCAGGGCTCGAACACAGGTCCTTATGGTTACAAGGCGAGCGCGTAGACCATTAAGACACTGGGACCCGATCCTAAGGCTACATCATGAGGTGCGAAGACAAATACTCGCCACTGAAGCGTTCGCGTGAATTGGAAGAAGTTAGAATTCAAGAACCATTGGATCAGGTCCCACTGGCTTAGTGGTCTACGAGCTCGTCTTGTAACCAGAAGGTTCTGGGTTCGAGCCCTGGTGGTTGGTGAGTACTGATGAAAGTCCCATAACTAGGACGAAACAGCTGTCCAGTACACCATGCACGTTTTGCAATGGTTCGCCAAATAATGTCAGTTCATGATGAAATCCCCCAACCAAATAAAAATTTGTTGGATGAAAGTCAGTAAGCTGCAAAAAATCACTTTGCTTGTCATTATGTGATATTTTTCTTACACCGAAACAGTTTAATTGGGACAAAAACAATGATGGAAAGAAAATTAAATAAATAAACGAAGGTAAAACACCAGGTCATACATGACAAACACTTATTATTATTTATTATTGCTCCCTTGTGTTCCTAGTGGAAGATAGGGCTTCAACTGCACGTCTCCACTTGCCACTTCTGTCTTCCTTCTGTTGTACTTTTCACTTTTATCCATTTTAGTCCATACTCTTTCAACTCCTCTTCACACGATCTCCTCCATGTCAGCCACCATCGCACTGATGACCCACTCGCCGCTTCCCTTTCGACCTGGTTCCAATCGAGAAATGGCCTGACGCAAGCGCCATGTCACGTAGCGGCCTCCTTAGCGAGCGAGTGTCCAATCCATCTCCACTTTCTCCTGCATATTTTTTGTTGGTTGGCGATTGGTTCTTGTTTTGTTTGTTTGTTCCCATAGTTTCTTGTTGGTGATGCTTTCCAGCCCGGCCATCTGATCCTCATTCAGTATAGAGCGATAGTTGACAGTTAGTTGTTGATAAAGGTCTGCAATAGCCAGTCTGTTGGAAATATTCTTTGTGACCCGCCCGCCAAGTTTCTCATCCGATCCGTATAGGAGAACTGACTGACTTGACGTTGTTTGTATTGAAAATCAAACCGACCGAATTTCGTTGTTGATGATGGTTGAGTGACGAAGATTTCCAGATTGGTTTCAGGTTGATGAATAATGTGTTTCTCGCCTTCCCGATCCTCGCTCGATTTGACATTCTCGCCCGTTCTGACTGTCTGTAGTTCAGACAATGCTCCCTAGGTAAGTGAATGAATGAAGTAACCTCTTTCAAATCCCTCCAGTTGATGGTGATTGGCGCTGGATGTTGCTGTTGGTTGATTGGTTATTTTCATAACCTCCGTCTTGTCTATGTTCATCTGGAGTCCTTTCTTCGCTGGCTGCTTCTTCGACCAGTTTGTCGGTCAATTTTTGCTTGTAAGTCTTCGATTTTGTGTGACATCAAGCGTAAATCAGTCACTCGCGAAATCCAGGTCTTCTAGGTTCTTCACATTGGTTCAGGATATTCCTGTCTTCATGACACACAATAGTTTCATCGAATAAGTTGGCAAATCAATTAGAAATTGTCATTACCTAATAGTTTATATCACTCCGAAAGCAGGTGGTGGTGACTAGAAATCTAATGCACAGAAAACACCCAGTAGAATAAATTCAAGGCTATCTAATTGTAAAAGCTGTCAGTGAATAAAGTGTTGACAAGTTAAGAAAAAAAACACCCGGATGTTATTCTTCTAAAAATAAATTAACTTTTCATAAAATCTAGTCACCCATTTAGTAGTAAAAGAAAAAAAGCAAGTGAAAATCTAACTTCCTGACCAGTTGAATAATCACCTTTGGTATGCAAAAAATCAAGAGAAAAATAAGGAAAGAAATTGAAAAAACGTTTCACTTTTGTTGCAATTATAATAATAATAATAATTATTATTATTATTGTGATTACATAAAATTAACCTACTTCTAGGACAATAGTCTAAATTCGGATATGCCATTGCCATTTCATTGTCTAACAGGAAATTTGTTGTCGTTGGTGGTGTCACGACTGTCGGTGTTTCATCATCATTTTGTGGTAGAAGAATATTCGGTGAGAAGACTAACCAATTCATATCGAGAATATATGAATCTGTTGAATAGGGTTGACAGGTTGATTCATCGCATAAATGATTGTTAGTAACGGGATTATTAGTAGTGGCACCAGTAGCATTACTAGTAGTAGTAGTAGTCGTAGCAGTGGGATTGCTAGAGAACGCTGTGTTAACTATTGTTGTGATAGACGACAGCGATGATGCTGATGCGGATAAGAAACCAGTATTACTACTGACAGAAGTATTAGTAGTAGTGGTAGTTGCTGTTGTTGTTGTTGTTGTACTGGTATTACCACCAGTAGATGTTTTTAAATTCTGATTGTCACCAGTATTATTCGCATTGGTGTTATCCTTTTTTAAAAATAAATCATACGATTGAGTTAATGTAGCACTTGTCCATACTGTTATTCCATGTACTGGCCAATAGGATTGCTCTGGTAGAATGACAATATGATCACCTGATGGCTACATATATAATAACAATAATATTAATTGAAAACATTTATTTCCTGATGCGCATTCAAAACAAGCAATAAAGGTGGTTAATAAAGCAGGATGATTTAATGAATTCATCAAATTTCAGTAGAACTCCTCTTCAGCTGAATACTCTACATATACGGATATATATACACATACTTTTAAAATATATGCTCGAACAACTAAGTATAGGAACTGAATGATACTATATTTGGCCCGTGTTCTAAGTGACAGAGACAGTGTGAAGCGCAAAACCTATGACTTGCTTTGTTGTTAATAACATAATTTTGGCTCTCTCATTTCTCTCTTATTTGTATTCTATAGTGAACACCTTCTTGAACATACTGAGCTACCTAAATTACTAACATTAGGTTATATTTTTTGTACTTTACTCTATTCCTTCTTTTGTGTATCTACTGGTTCTGACTATATTAGCACTATGAGCGTTACAAAATTGTCCTGTCATTAACCATCATGTAGTATTAGTTTTGTGATTATTTTTTTTGTTCGGCAATACTAACTGACAATCTTGGTTGTGAACGTCATTATCACCATCTTAAAATGTTTGTACTATGCAGGATTACTCACACTACCACTACAAACACCGCATTAGAGCTGACAATAAAAAAAACCTGAAACGTTTGCTGATTTTATGATTGTTTAGTGTTGTTCAATCAAATTAACTGATCATCTTGGCAACAAACATTCTTAAATATCATTTCATAACTTCTTGTATGACTAGAGCTTTACTGTCACCACGCATAAACATATCATAGCTTCCACTACCCAATACTGAAATATTATTCATTATTGGTGTTTGTCTTCCTTTCTACTTCTTGGTATTTTTCGAATTTTTTTTGTTATTATTGTTTGTTTGTTTTTTGGTGTCGTTTTTTATATCTATTTTCGAAATACTCCTTGTAAATGTGCGATGAAATTAGATGCACTATGTGCAGATATGTGCTGAAAACTCCATACTGTACCACTAGTACTGTTTCTGGAATAAAGCAAAGCAAATTATTATTATTATTATTAAAAGAACATTTATATTTAGAGTTCTTCTCATTAGATTACATACAGGAATTATTAGAAAAACATATATTTATTATTATTGACGGATGCATAAAAAGTTTATTAGGGGCTAAAAGATATAAAAGCGGTCTTCAGAAACTATTGGTGATATGACTTAAAATCGTTCTCAATAGCGCATATGCATTCACTCTTCGTGATCGCCTATATCCTCATGTTTTACAAACGTCACTGTTCTTTCTCTCGAACATTTCCGCTCATGACAGTTCTTCTGGATTTCTGTGTTCTCTGTTTATCCTACATTTGTGTGCTACATAGACAAAAGTCCACAAAAGCCCTACTGTTTAAAATAGTTATGCAAAAAACGTATATATAAAAAAAAAAATAAATGTATTACAATACTTCAATATAAATTGATGAATAACCACACTATTTAACTTACAGTGTACAATACTTTTCTCATTTTAATATCATGTAATCGAACTTTTTTCACTGGACACGAAGCATTTTCAATATCCCATAAACACAACTGAGGATCATCACTAATGGTAACCAACTGATTGGTATTTTTTGGAGACCAGTCAAAATCACGAATAGCATCACCTTGTACAGAGAGATATTGTTGTGGGACACTCGTCTATATAATAATAAAAAAAAAAAAAAAAAAAAAATAATAATAATTCAAGTCAAATCAACACAGAATGAAAGTATAAATAGGTAGCGCAAATGAATAATAAATATGAGCAGATAATTTATGTTTTAAAAATTAAACAATTTTGCTGGAAATGATTGAATTCTGTGCATTATATATGTCACCTCATTTTGTCCTCCCATTTGTGGTTGTCGGACATCACCGATGAAGGCGGATGCTATGCGATAAAGGTAGCTGTCTTTCAACATAGGCGTCCCTTGTTGAATGGTACAATGTGATTGGTAATACTGAGGCTAGGTGTGCAAGGGTGAATAAATCGATTAGGTTTTTAAGGCACATCGATTGAGATTGTTAGGGTACGTGTGAAGCACACCAAAAACAACCATCATTCTCGTCAAACAATGTCGCCTGAAAAGCCGTCAATATATGAAGTTTTCGACTGTTAGTCCCAGCCTCATAGAGAGGTTATAGACTGTTTGTTTGCTGTCCTCAGGATGCTTATGGCTTTCGACTCTTGGTGATAATGGTTGAAAATCGTTCTTGGTGGAACAGATGAATTCATCCCTTGAGATGTTCAATATCCATTAAACCCTTATGTCATTCCACGTTAGTCTTCTTTCTCTCACACATTTCTCTCTCTATCGTCTAACTTGTGTTATATGGAGTGCGGCAACTTGAAATGCTGCACCTCTGTACACCAGTTCTACATCCAAAGTCAGTCAGTCTGTCTGTCTGTCAAGCATGTATATGTATGTCTATCTTCACATTACTACACTTAATATATACTCATAGTTATTAGGAAAAAATCTAAGTGAAGCCATTGTGTATGTATTTCTTTCGCAAATACAACCTTATCGATTCAAAATATGATCCATTCCTGTCATATATATCCTAAGGCATTAAGAAGACAAATTTCGCGAGATGATATCGTCATTTCGCAGTTTCTTTACAACCGCTTTACAACTAACATGATTAAAAGTGATAAAATAAAGTTCATGAAAATTAATCAGGTAAATAAAAACAAAAGTACATACTAATGATCAATCATATTCAGATAGGTCATGTAGTCAGTTCATGGTAGGCGAAGATTGAAGTCTATTGATTTTTGTACACACAGTTTAGGCTGTATGTGATTAATCCCCCAAAGTGCTTCCATCCCCTAATATTAATTAAAATATAATATATTTTTCTAATTTAGAGTTTATATGTTTTTCTTTGATTTTTGATTTCGCATTTAACATTCGAAATCATTAAAATCAAAGAAAAACATATAAAAATAAAATTTATGTGGGAAAAAATTTTTTTTTTAAAATATAGTTTTTTTTTAAAAAAGACTAGGTGTTCAAGTAAAAACTAATTAGTTGATTACGTAAACAATGCTTGATAATGTGAATGCACTGAAATGGTATTTCAAATAATCACTCATGGTACATTTCACACAACTGGGTCTACAGGAAAAAGTTTACTCACAGATGAATCAGCAACCAATATGGTCAAAAAAGCCTACCTTTATAAAATTCACACATCAGTCTTCATCTGCAGAAACTTATTTCGCAATATTAACCCATGGGTTAATAGTGTACCCACCCTCTTTACTGAGCTTGATATATGTTATTACAGACCTGCTTAAAATAGTTGGGTTACACAGCTATACTACACATGTCCTACAAATTGCAGTTGATGCAGCTTCACGACCTCATTCATTGACTTCGATCCCCTCTCATTCCTAACAATGTCTGTCTGAGCATAATATTACGGACAAAATCGGTCCACCTAAAACAAAGGATTCATCATCATCATCCTTATTCAACAGCTGTACGACAACGGCACATTTCAAGTCATCCACAACAGAAAACTCAGCGAGGCGTTTGGAGTAAACACAGGAGTCAGATAAGGGTGCTTATTATCATCAATGATATTCCTAATTGTGGTGGACTGACTGGATTATGAGTGAGACAGTGGGGAACGAGATATGGGACAGGGGTATCCTGGACCAACGTGAAGAACCTAGAAGACCTGGATTTCGCGAGTGACTGATTTACGCTTGATGTCACACAAAATCGAAGACTTACAAGCGAAAACCCACAAAGTGGTCGAAGAAGCAGCCAGCGAAGACAGGACTCCAGATGAACATAGACAAGACGGAGGTTATGAAAATAACCAATCAACCAACAGCAACATCCAGCGCCAATCACCATCAACTGGAGGGATTTGAAAGAGGTTACTTCAATCATTCACTTATCTAGGGAGCACTGTCTCAACTGCAGGTAATCAGAACAGGAGAGAATGTCAAATCGAGCGAGGATCGGGAAGGCGAGAAACACATTATTCATCAACCTGAAACCAATCTGGAAATCTTCGTCACTCAACCATCATCAACAACGAAATTCGGTCGGTTTGATTTTCAATACAAACAACGTCAAGTCAGTCAGTTCTCCTATACGGATCGGATGAGAAACTTGGCCAGCGGGCGGGCGGGTTACAAAGAATATTTCCAACAGGCTGACTATTGCAGACCTTATCAACAACTAACTGTCAACTATCGCTCTATACTGAATGAGGATCAGATGGCCGGGCTGGAAAGCATCACCAACAAGAAACTATAGGAACAAACAAACAAAACAAGAACCAATCGCCAACCAACAGAAAAATATTCAGGAGAAAGTGGAGATGGATTGGACACTCACTGAAGAGGCCGATTAGTGATATTGTCGAGTGGGACATCCAAGGGTGACATGGAAGCGATCGTGTAAAGAGGAGTTGAGACAGTATGGACTAACATGGATGCAGGTGAAAAGTACAGCAGAAGGAAGACAGAAGCAAGTGGAGACGTGCAGTTGAAGCCCTATGTTCCACTACGAACTCAAGGGAACAATAATACAATAATAATAATAATATATAGCTTTTTATTCAGTTTATTCCCTTCGATAGTGTTTAAACCACACACAGGCTTTTTTTCAATCACAATCTATACACACGTGCATTTTTATACAACTAACAACCTACTTCTGTACATATTTTTTGTAAGAAATGCACGCAAAATATTGTGGAAGATTATTGGATTGTGCTTGAAATATCCAGAAATTATGTGTTGAATTGACATACCTACCTGCCAATTATATATATACTTTATTTAAAGATTCTATACAAAGGCTAATTTATTTTGCAAAGAAAATAATGCACAAAGAAGCTATTACTAAGAGGAATCATAGTAGACATAAAGCTAGTTACAGACAGACTCAATAATTATTATTAATCATACCTCATAAGTTTTCATGAATTAGCTTATAGGGATTTGATGTCTTTCAAGTTTGACTAAAGACTGATTGATATCACTTAGAGAATCATTGAAAATCAGGGAGTTTGGGTCTAATTGGCAGTGTATAGCGACTAAGGTTCGAACCCCGGACCTTGCGGTTACAAATACTCCAATGGTGATAGCGCTAAAATCACGAATTGGTAGAAGTTTGGATTCATAGGCCACTGAGTTGGAGCCCAGTGGATGAATGATATAAGAGCTTGCCTTGTAACCGGAAGGGTACCCAGTTCGAATGCCAGTCAGTGCGTACCAGCGATGAGTCTCAAACAGAAGGAGAAGAAGCTGACCAGTAATTCCCTAGTTTCCAATCGTATTCTCTAACTTATGTAAATCCGTAGTCAAACCAAAATTTTCTTTAGTTTAATTTGAAAGGCTTAGTTTTGTTTTTACCGGTTGATCATGGATCGATATCAGCTAGAGAATCATTGAAAACCAGGGAGTACTTGACAGCTGCTGTTTTCAATCCTAGTTTGATAATCATCAGCAGTACTCGTAAAAACAAAACTAACCCTTACAAACCAAACTATAGAAAATTAATCTGATGCTCGCTAGTGACTTCCTACAGGATGCAGTTTCATGGAGTTCTAGTGAGAAGTTGTGACCAGTGGGGTTCATCCAGATGTCACGAGTGAGGATGGATGTCCTATCTAAGACAATGGTTGGGGTCGCGCTAAATCACGAATTGGTAGCAGTTAGAATTCATGGGTTGGCTGGCCATTGAATCGGGTCCCAGTGGCTGAATGGTATACGAGCCAGCTTGCCTTGTAGCCAGAAGATCCTGGATTCAAACCGTGGTGGTGGGTGCGTACTGCCAATGATACCCAAACTAGGATGAAACAGCAGCTGCCTAGTACTCCCGTAATGGTTTTCAATGGTTCTCTAACTGATATCAAACCGAAATGTCAAATATGGTGTGTGTGTGTGTGTGTGTATGTTATGCAAAAGCTATCAAGAAACAAACATAAACGCGGAGATAGGGGCATACAGTGCAAAATTGAAACGATCAACCATAACATAATGGCAATTCTGCATAAAATGGTCTACAGTTTTTTTTATTCAATCGTCCAAAATTTACACTTAAACAACCCTACTCCATTAGTTAGTTACCAACTGCTTGTAAATTTTAATAAAGTACAATTTTTTTATAAACAAGTAACGTAGGCTGCAACATACTTACTTAATTAGAATTTTGATAATAAATTGATGGCATTTCAATTTTTACACTTATAATAACATACCTGTAATGGTAGTCATCTCGATCCCCTTCTCTTCAAGATAACTAATTCACCGATGCATACACACCTTTCCAACAAATAACACAATCAACAATTACTACACGACTACACGTATCCAGAAAGATGGCAATAACTATAAACTAATGTATTTTATCAAGAGTCACTGATAATTTATTCATACATGTGACACTACACATGAAATTAATTCAGACAGCCGAGAAGCACGCATGTGGTTGATGTTTGGCTCCCATTTTAACGCACACGTATACCTCATCTAAGAAGTAGTGAATCCGATAATCAGCGAAGGATGAGATGCGAGACAAGCAACCCTGTTTCCCACAAAGAGGAAAATATGCAAGTGGAACGGAACAAGTTGGGAGAAGAAGAAGCATCCAGAGATAGGCCTTCACTTCAGGTGAACATAGAGAAAACAGAAGTAGGTGATGAAGATTCCTAGTCAACAACACCAACAGCCACACCAACAACAACAGACAATAATCAGCCAGCGTAAATGGGAGGAACCTGAAAGAAACAACCTCCTTCACCTACCCACCTACCTACCTATCTGGAAAGCATCGTTTCAACTACAGGCGGACGGAACTAACGAGGATATCAAAGCATCGAGGATCAACGGGAAGGCAAGACATGCTTTCATTACTCTCAAGTCTGTGTGGAGGTGGTCAACAGCACTACTCAGCATGAAAAGTAAGATCCGGATTTTCAACTCCAATGTGAAGAAGTCATTGTTACTCAATATACAGATCAGAGACTTTACGTGCCACTAAAGGCACTTCGAACAAACTACAGACCTTCATCAACAGTAGCTGTCTTCGCTCAATACCACTCAAGATCAGATGGCTGGCCAGAAAAGATCAGCCACAGGGATCTCTAGCAATGAGGGAACCAACCAGGAACCGATTGTGCAACAAATATACAGGGAGAAATGGAGGTGGCTTCCCATTCCATACTCTGAGAAAACAAACCAACAAGTGATATCGCTAGGCAAGCGATTGCTCGAGTGGAACCCGAAAGGGAAGCAAGAGGCGAGTTGGTCGTCAGTGCAAGGGTGACATGGAGGAGTTGATGTGAAGAGGAGATGAAAACATGTGGGGAGACTTGGATCCAGGTGAAAGCTATAGCATAGAACCGAACGCAAAGGAGTCGTGCAGCTGAAGCCCTATGTTCTTCTAGGAATGAAAGGATATAATAATAATACTAGCAACCCTACCCACTTAAAAACTACGCAACCATTAATCAAACTTCAAGACTCGAGCTTGAAGCAGTATGTTTCACACGAAATGTAAAAGAATGAAAGTAGTATTGCTCAGTGCTGACATATCTGAACCGAGTTGATTAGACGCATTTTCGGTTCCTTGAAAAAGATAGATACTTCGATATTGCCAGGTTTGAGTGAACTTATAGTTATTTATATGGTGATGGTGGTGTCTAGCAGTAAAATCGCGGACTCTCATCTCATCCTACCTGGAAGTCATTTGATGGAACTACTTGAACCCTAGTGACTGGTGACACTGAATACAACGCTAGTGAATATAACAAAAGAAAAATTAATTAATTAATTGTAAGCATAAGATTAGCATTCAATTAGACTTACCCTTAAATCCCAAACTCGAACACCCGATGAATGACAGGTAGCAAATTTTCCACTAAGAAACCTATTCCATTTAACAAGGATAGGTGAAGCTAAAATAATAATAATAATTAATTAATCAGTGAATATCATTTACAGAATAAACATTTCTGTTACCAAATATCACAGCATCCAGTTGCTACAGGATAAAAAATAACTCGTGAAACAAGGGGTCATCAGGATAGTTAGTGATTTCATTCATTCATGCAGCATTCTGAAAACCTCACTCACTTCCACACTTGAAGTTATCGCGAAAAGCATTGTCAAGCAATATATTGGGTAAAACTTGGGCACTGTGGTAGTAAGTAATTCTATATTAGTTTGTTTATATATCTAATATCACACAGTGAAACAATATTACTGTTTACTGGATGACGCTACAAAAAAAATTTATTATTCACAATCATATTAATTATAATCACACGACTTCGAAACTTAAGTTGTACAGGTTTCTTTGTCTTCTGCTATTTATCGTCGTAGGGGTAGTAGGATTTTCCAGATGTCCAAGTGGACAGGTGTTGAATCATTCCTATTACACGTGTTTCCTGTCAGTTGATTCGATAAACAAAGCTTCTGTAATCAATCTCTCTCCCCCCACCCAGCTGTTACATTACATCTTAAAACTGTCATCCAATCCCATCCTATTGTGTGGTTATGTGCAATTGCATGCAATGAGTGCTATAGCTGAACTATTTCTCTAGATTTCTTATCTTATTCGGATCAACCAATCTAGATTTTACTAGGATTTTATGTTCGGCTAAATTGTTTTATTTTAAAGGCTCCACTGGAGGGTTCCTTTAATCGACAAAGCTTGTTTCTAGTTGAGTTGGTGGGTGATTTGAATACCACTTATTGTTGGTATCGTCATTATTATTATTATTGTTATCACTATCACTACTATTATTATTTATTTTATTTTTACATTTCCCTACATATTTCCTGATTAATTTACCAGGGTAATTATTCAGTTTCAACGCTTCTCTTATATGTATCACTTCCTGTCTTAGATTTTCCTTAGTACTACTTAGTTTTTGTTCTCTGTCACTTAAACATTTCACCAATCCTATTTTTACTGAAATAGGATGGGATGATCGGAAGTTCAAATATCTGTTTGAATGTGTAGGTTTCCTGTAAACACACTAGTCTGCTTAACTGCCCATCTTCTTTCCTTTTTACACTGCAAACTAACATTGGAAGCTCCCCTTCCTGACTTTCCATTCATAAGTGAATTGAATTGCCTCTACCTTAGAGTTGATTTGTTCGAAAAATCTATCTATATCTTGTGTTCTAAGTACAGTGAATGTGTCATCTACATACCTCCACCATACTTTTGGGGTGGGGGTGAATGTTTCAATCGCTATGTTTTCCCACCTATCCATGAATACATCTGCTACAACCGGGGATATTGGTGATCTCATTATAACTCCCTCAGTTTGTTTGTATATTTTCCCTTGGAATTTAAGTACTGTGGAAGTCAGGCATAGCTGTACTCCCAGTCTTCAAGTGGCACTTTCATCGTAAGTTCAAATTCTCGGTCAAAGATGAGTTCGTTTCTGACTGCCTCTATAGCCATATTTATCATCGTGACACTATCAAAACTAACCATTTTCTCTTCATTATCTAATTTTTAAATTATTCTAATCTGTATTTTCGTTCATAAGAATTTGTCAGTCTAGATTTTGAGTGGCTTTTAAGGGGATTCAATAGTATGGCTAATTCATTGTTAAACAAGGCAATGAAACCTTTTCAAAATGAAACTACTACTGAATTTATTATTTAAAAAAAAACACTAAATATTATCTTAGAAATATTAATTAACATGAAAGTAAGTTCATCTCAGTGTTAATTAATTTAACTACACACAGCAGAACAATGCTAATTGACTTTTAAAGACACTGATCATTGAATATTTAAAAATCTACTATGCCTAAAAGGGGAAATGATATGATTCATTTACCATAAATATTATTAAAAATAAAAAAATTTTGAGCTGACATTACTTGGAGAACCATTGGAAAACCTGTAGGGAGTACTGGACAGCTGTTTCGTCCTAGTTTTAGGACTCTCCAGCAGTACACCACTATCGCCAGGATTCAAACCCAGGACCTTCTGGTTACGAGGCGAGCTCGTGTACCATTAAGCCACTGATACGCGGTCGAATGGTCAGTCCATAAATTCTAACTTCTGCCAATTCACGATATAGCGCAACTCGGTGCGCGACTATATGTCCTCACACCCGACCTACTGCACCCTACTGGTCACGACTTCCCACTGGAACCCCAGGTAACTCCGATGTTTTCTAATCGTTCTCTAACTAATGTCAGTTCATGATGAAATCCTGTCACCAATCAAATCCCTACAAACCAACACATAAAAACATAAGAGGATGACGATATGTAAGAGGTAAACATACATACATACATACATATATACATACATACGCACACGCAGACACTAGAAGTCATAAAAACAGTCAAAACATAAGTGAAACTGAAAGGTGAATAACGATAGATTAACTAACATATATTGAATATATACTGGTTGAACTAACTACAGCTATAAGAGTAATAAGAAGAAGAAGAATAATAGGAATCTGTTCCGTTCTGTTTCTCCTGTTCTTTACATTGTATTTCATTATGATTAATGATATTCCCCATGTTAGTTATTTATAACAATCTCTTTCATACATGTTGTATATACACACAATAAAGAGGGAGAGAACGAAGTCGACGGAAACAGTACACAGATAATGTGGCTTATCTCATTTCACCTTGGATAGGACAACAACAACAAGAACCGACAGCGGCAACTACCGGTATTATTATTATTAGTAATAATATAACTACTATGGGTACTACAACATAGTACTACAATGATTTATTAAGCTATACAGGTACTGACTAGAAGAAATGAAAAAGAGGAATTATGAACTATTCTTAGTTCTAGCCTATATATATATATATATATATATATATATGGAAATGTTAAATTAAACAAAGTGACAAGAAAAAGGAATTTAAGAATGATTAACACAAGGTTCGGTAATCCAATCAAATAAGGATTACCAAGGTAGGTTAAGAGCAATAATAAACTGTTTTCGAATACACGGGGGGGGGGGGCTTAAATTTATGAATAGCTATAGCCTCGGAGTATTTCAATAAGCACCCTTGATCGTTTTCATAGATGACATCTGTGCCGGCTGAGTTAACAACAATCTTATGGTACATCTCGATTAGGTGTTTAGCTATAGGCAAAGTTGGCAGTCTGACATTTGCATCTATTGGTTTTTCACAATTCATTTGTTATTCTAACCATTTTGGGATATGCTATCGCACCCTCCTCCCTATGTATGTCTCACCGCAGACACACGAAAATTGGTAAATTCTGTGGGATGTGACATAATCACTTGTGCACTTTTGAGGTTTACAGTGAAACATATTTCTTTCTTTCTCCACAATTACAAGCTGGACTGTATGGTAGGTTCTAAGGATGATTGAATTCAACCTTTGTCTAAAAATCCTACTGTTCATTTCTCCATTATGTGGTAATTTGATGAAAACAGGTTTCCTAGGGGTGGTATGGATTGTAGGTTTATAGACTAATTGACTTCTACACCTGTTTAAAAATTTTAGAGGATATCCGTTTTTAACAAGAGTATCCATCAATATTTCGTTTTCATTGTCTATAACATCAGCCGTGCAATTGCGCTGAATCCTCTTAAACATACACTTCACCAAGGCTCTCTTAAACTCTATTGGACAGAAGCTGTGAAAATTAAGGTACTGGCCTGTCCAACTGGGCTTTCTGTAGATAGACCATCATCTCTTCGACTCAGAAGTATGTCTGAAAATGCAAGCTGGTTGCGACTTTCTTCCTCGCATGTAAGACTAATATGATTCGGTAAAGAATTAAGTCTGCCTAATAGATAACTGGCATCTCCATGATCGTTGCATATCAATATGATATGATCTATATATCTCTTATAGAAGGGCAATTTAGAAATTAAACCAGAGGATAAGTTTTCAACATAAGACAAGTAAACATCAGTCAATCAAATCCACAACAGTTAGTTAAAGTCAGCCAGCCACGTAGGAAGGTGTAGACTTCCTGACTGGCTGGTTGGGGTCATCGGGACGGTAAAAACCAATAACGGGCTGGAGACAATTAGTGATATGGCTCAAAATCGTTCTCGATAACTGGTACAGACGCATCCACTCCTTCTGACGTATAGTTCCCAATGAAACTTTATTGTTGTTCGTTATTACTATTCCTTTGTCTCATACCTTTGTTTACTGTCTCTATTATGCATTTCTTTTACTTTCTTCTCTTGTTTTGTGTGTGACAATGGGGAGTGTGGAGACTAGAACTGCCGCGCATATGTGCAAAGTTCCATGTCGAAAACAGACAGACTGGCTTGTGTGCTATATCTATATCAAACTGTTTCAGTATTCTAGCTGTTATTTCAGAGATATTTTTCATGTATGTAGGATGGATTTTCTTTTGGTTCACCTGAGCTACAAATCTTCTTTACTATTTCAATACCAAATAATTATTTCCTTTCAAAAAACCGACTGGAGTAACATTTTCAGAATAAAAGTTTATAAAAAAAACTTCGAAAAAAAACTCACAAAAATCAATAATAATAATTATTATTATGATATCAGTATATTCAGAAATAATGAATGTGTACCTGAATGCTAAACCAACGTGAGCGATGAACTTAAACACGTAAATTGAAAATACTAAATAATTTCAACAATAACAAAAACAAAAAAAAGCTAATTCATTAAATAAATTATATTGATATGTGTAAAACTTGTGCACTGTGGGGTAGTAAGTAATTCTATACTAGTTTGTCTATTGGATGTATCACACAGTCACTGAAACAGTATTATTATTTACTGGATGACACAGTTTCCAACAAAATTTATTGTTCATAATCATATCAGTTGTGTAATCACACGACTTTGAAACTTGAATTTTGAATAGTTTTCTTTGTCTTCTCCTATTTGTCGTCGTATGCGTGTTAGTAGAAATTTCCAGAAATCTGGTGAGAAACAAACTCATTTCTGACCAAGAACTCGAACTTAGGACAAAAGTGCTACTTGATGACATAATACTGCGAGTACAGCTATGCAACTGCAACTATAAAACTCAAGTTTCGAAGTCGTGTGATTATAATTGGCGATATGATTATGAACACTAAATTTGTTCGAAACGTCATCCAGTAAATAATAATACTGTTTCACTCACTGTGATACATCTAATAAAAAAACTAATATGGAAAGTCAATCCTCCTTTACATAGAACACTGAGATCTGATATTAGCGATCAACAATAATAATTGGTATAAGTGGCTTTTAACTTCTACATATATCAGTTCATTATAAATATATATATCTTGAAAATAATACTGCTTAACAACCAACAAAATTTAGTATAGAAGAAAATTAAACCTACAAAGAGATTCCATAGCTCGAATAGGTCGAGACAGATCCCGTAGGTCCCAAACACAAATAGCACGAAATTGATCTGCTGACGTTGTGGCTAAAAGAAATGGATGCATAGGACTCCAATCCAGTGAATTGATCACACGCACATATCCGCCTAAACTTGTACTTGTACTTAGACGACATTCGTTTGCATCCCATACGAGGAGTTCACATTTATTAGATCGCTTAAAAGACAACACAGAGAACAAGTAAGAAAACGATGTTATCTCCAATAAAATTTAACACTATTCGGAGTAGTGTGTATGGACCTGTGTGTGTTCAGTCCCCCAGCCTGGTACACTCCTACAATCTTGCCTATCCGGAAGTAAGACATTTGAAAATGGTAAATGGAGCAAGAAGCTAGCAGTCCAACTCTATGGGAACAACACCGCTAATGAGAGCTTGAAGCTCAAGCTTGAAACTCTGTGTTCCAAACCGTAAAGCAAAGGAGTGTACAAGAAATCCACAGTTGTAAGGTCTGACGTTATTATTCATATTATTATTATTGTTTCCTTTAATTTCTAGAAGAACATAGGGTTTCAACCGCGCGTCTCCATTGCGTTCGATTCTTTACTAGAGTTTTTACCTGGCTCCGAGTCTCCCCACATGCTTTCATCTCCTCTTCACATCAACTCCTCCATGTCACCCTTGCACTGACGACCAACTCGCCGCTTCCCTTTCGGGTTCCACTCGAGCGATGGCTTGCCTAGCGATATCACTTGTTGGTTTGTTTTCTCAGAGTATGGCCTGAGAAGCCACCATCATTTCTCCCTGCATATTTGTTGCACAATCGGTTCCTGGTTGGTTCCCTCATTGCTAGAGATCCCTGTGGCTGATCTGTTCTGGCCAGCCATCTGATCTTGAGTGGTATTGAGCGAAGACAGCTAGCTGTTGATGAAGGCCTGTAGTTTGTTTGTGGTGGTCTTTAGTGGCACGTAAAGTCTCTGATCTGTATATTAAGCAGCAATGACTTCTTCACATTGGAGTTGAAAATCCGGATCTTACTTTTCATGATGAGCAGTGCTGTTGACCTCCACACAGACTTGAGAGTAATGAAAGCATGTCTTGCTTCCCGTTGATCCTCGATGCTTTGATATCCTCGTCAGTTCCGTCCGCCTGTAGTTGAAACGATGCTCCCAGATAGGTAGGTAGGTGGGTAGGTGAAGGAGGTTGTTTCTTTCAGGTTCCTCCCATTTACGCTGGCTGATTATTGTCTGTTGTTGTTGGTGTGGCTGTTGGTGTTGTTGACTAGGAATCTTCATCACCTACTTATGTTTTCTCTATGTTCACCTGAAGTGAAGGCCTATCTTTGATGTTTCTTCTTCTCCCAACCTGTTCCTTTTCACTTGTATACATTCCAGTTTGTTGGAAATCAGACATATATCTTCGGCGAAGTCCAGATTCTCCAAGTTTTTCGTGACCGTCCATTTTATTCCTGTTTCCTCGCTGCCCGCCGTCTGTTGCATTATCCAGCCTACCACAATCAGGGAAATCACTGGCGATAGTAAGCAGCCAGCCTGTCTTACTCCCGTCCTCACTTCGAAGGATTCTGTAAGTTTTCCGTTGTGAATTACTTGGAGGCATGCAGCATTGTCGTACAACTGTTAGATGAGATGTATAATTGTCGGCGGCATCCCAGTAGTAGCGAAGTACTTTCTAAACCACCCCTCGATCGGCGCTTTCAGCTGAAGGCCCTTTCAAAGTCTATGAAGTTGAGATAGAGAGGTGACTGCCATTCCAAGCTTTGTTCAATGATGATCCGTAGTGTGGAGATTTGATCAATACATGGCTTGTTTCTCCTGAATCCAACCTGTTCCGGTCGAAGTTTTTCATCCAGGTCGGCGTGTTTGATACCTTCCAGGATACATATATGCCAATTGCGAAAAATTCCGCCTTGACGACTACTTTGTAATCATATTAAGTACATATAGAAAGCCGTATTTCAAAACTTGTTACTGTACACTAACACTCAACTACAAATAAACATACAAAATGATAAGCACATGTTGGTGAAGAATTTAACTGCATAAGGCGTTGACTCGTTTACAATACTACTCAGGATTCAATTGCTTTTTTGTATATTAAAGCTGCTAAAATGGAAATCAATAATTTAAGGTGTTGACTGATGAGACCGGAGATTATGCTGTTTTTTTTCAAATGTAGATTCATGTCGTTATGCAGAAATGATAATTCTTGTTATACAACTACAACTCGACCTAAAAGCAGTCAATCAGATTAAGTTATTTCACCACCGACCACCTATATTATGCTACCCTTGGATTCTAAGGAGAGCATAGGCTTCAGCAGAAAATCTCCATTTCAGTGTTAGTTTGTAGGGATTTGGTTGGTAACAGGATTTCATCATGAGGTAACTTTGGTTAGAGAACCATTGGAAATCCTCGGAGTACTGGACAGCTGTTTCGTCCTAGTTCGGGGCTCCTCACAGTACGCACCCACCACCACAATTCGAACACAGGACCTTCTGGTTACAAGGTGAGCTCGTATACCATTCAGTCACTGGGACACGATCCAATGGCCAATAAATCCTAACTTCTGCCAATTCATGACATAGCGCGACCGCTAGCCAATGTCTTCGGCGAGTATTTGTCTTCACACCCGACCTGCTGCACCCTACTGGTCGCGACTTCTCACTGGAACCTCAGGTAACTACCTACCTGAATAGGGCAAGCCGCTAGTGAGCATCTTATCGATATTTAAGCGGTGGTTTGTAGGGATTTGATTGGTTGCAAGGGTCACGCTATGTCATGAATTGGCAGAAGTTAGAATTCATGCACTGGCCATTGGATCGGGTCCCAGTGGCCTAATGGTATACGAGCTCACTAGCCCTGTAACCAGAAGGTCCTGGATTCGAACCGTGGTGGTGGGTGCGTAATGATGAAGAGTCCCGAACTAGGACGAAGCAGCTGTCCAGTACTCCCTACAGATTTTCCAATGGTTCTCTAACCAATGTCATCTCCATTTCACTTTGTTCTCTGCAGTCCTTTTTTAACTGGCATGACGCTTTCCCATTTTCTTTTTCACGCGATCTTATTCTCCTCTTCATTGTCACATTCTGACAACTAACTTGTTGTTTCCAATTAGGTTCCACTCTAGGGGCTGTCTGAGTGGGGGCGATTTCAACATGTGTCCGACTCATCTCCATTCTCTGCTAGATATTTGTTGAGCAGTAGGTTTTCAGTTGGTTCGCTCACACAATCTCTTGTAGCTAATCCTTTCTGGCTATCAGAACTTCAACATCGAACGAAGATACTTGCTGTTATAAGTCTGCAACAGGCTGTTAAAAATATTTTTCATGATATAACAAGCCACTGAATCAGACCAATTGACCTAGTACAATTTTAATTGTGAGAATTAAGTATCTATAAAACACAAAATAATCGAGCAATGAATATTCTTTTCGATAAATTCTTCTTCTAGCTCTACAATTATGTATATGTGTGTTTATATGCATAGAATATTCTAGAATAGTAGTCAATAACAATATTAGTGTTTTTTAAATAATATCGATTTGTAAAGTAAGATCACAATGCAATTACAGTTCATTAAAGATGCCTAAATTACAATAATAATAAAGATATAATAGTGAATAGAATATCAACTAAAGTTAGGAAAATTCCACAAAATTCAGGATCATGCAAACCTAGATGGCCAAGGTAAGGATAATGTCTGAACTAACTTCATTTGGACGCACAGATTAGGCTTCTTAATGCGGATCCCAACAGTCAGTCTCAGCAATATTTAGTAGTCGAACTCTTAAGGCAAAATTGAGATTCGTAGGTAGGCGGTGAATGACCCTGAAAGCATGGTTAACGTCAATCCTGTGTTCTGTATCCACAAGATGAGGCAGAATAGCGCTATACGAATAGATTTTGTTTGTCCTCTGCTTAAACACACAGGGTGATGTTCGGAAATTCGACGAGAAACACGCCTAATTGTACGACCTATGTAACTGGCTCCACAGGAGCAGTTAAATTGGTAAATACACATGGAAGAGGCGTAATTAGGCAGTTTGTCTTTTACTTCCGAACGCAAAAGAGGAGTGGTTTGAAAGATACAGTATAATTCGGCAGCAGGGAATGATTTTTTTACCGCATTTCTAAGGCGTTGTGTTAGTATCTCGCTGGTGTTGTCCCCAAGGAACTGCATTTGTAAGAATAAGGCCTTTGTTGGAACTGTTGGTAACTTTGGCTGCTTTGGTTTTAGATACATATTCTATTCGATAAACTTTTCAGGATAACTATTTTCACTTAGCGACCGTTTAATATTATTAAGTTCCTCATCAAGACATTCGTCTGAGCAAATTGTTGTTGCTCTGTAAACCAAGCACTTTATCAGATTGCGTTTGTATTTCAAGGGTACGAAGCTGAGAAAATGTGTATACTGACCCGTTGATGTAGGTTTTCCATGTAAACACTTCTTCTTATTGTGCCATCCTCTTTCTGGTCATAAGGACGTCTAAAAATGAAATACTAGAGTCTATTTATTCCTCAATAGTAAAATTTATTGCAGGATATACCTAATTAAATTTACCCAGGATGCTCTTTGCTTCCTTCTCATTTTTCATAATCAAAAAAGTATCATCCATTAGGCGTGTTTCTAGTTGAATTTCCGAACATCAACCTGTGTGGTTAAGCAGAGGACAAACAAAATCTATTCGTATAGCGCTATTCTGCCTCATATTGTGGATACAGAACACAAAATTGACGTTAACCATGCTTTCAGGGTCATTCACCGCATACCTACGAATCTCAATTTTGCTTTAAGAGCTCGACAACTAAATATTGCTGTCACCAATCTGAAACTAGGCAAAGCAGCAGGACCTGATGGAATAACTCCAGAGGTATTTAAGTACCGTGGAGACAGTTTACTCTCTGCATTAACTGAGGTACTAGGCAGCGTCTGGGATTCAGAAGAAGTCCCGTCGGGTTGGTGTAAATCACTGATTATCCCGATATACAAGAAGGCAGACAAGTCTTCCTGTGATAATCACAGAGGGATTAGCTTGACTAATATAGTATCTAAAGTCCTAGGCTCAATAATCATGCGTAGACTAAGTGGTGCTCGAGAAGCACAAACATGAGAGAGCCAGGAAGGCTTTAGACCAGGAAGAGGGTGTATTGATCATATCTTCACCCTCCGACAGATTCTAGAACATAGGCATTCCTACCGGCGTCCAACAGTCATTATATTTCTCAACCTAAAGGCAGCATTCGATTTTGTCGACCGAGAAGTTCTCCGGAGATGCTTGGATGTAAACGGAATGCCGAGAAAATATATTGCACTGATTAACGAACTCTACTCGTACTCATGCAGTCAGCCAGGTGAGGGCTTACGGCGAGCTGTCATCTGAACTGGTGACGACTAGTGGTGTCCGTCAACGATGCCCATTATCCCCTTTTCTATTCAACTTCATCATAGATGTGTTAATGGACTTAACCCTAAGTGACTTCAGTGACTCAGGGATTGACTTGTTACCTGGGAATAATGTTGTTGACTTAGAATATGCAGACGATATAGTCCTTCTAGGCGAAGACGCTGACGAAATGCAGAGTCTTCTAAACACCTTGAGCTGCAATCTACGAATGTTTGGCATGCGATTCGCTCCCGCCAAATGCAAGATGATGTTACAGGACTGGACTACATCGACGCCTAGTTTAAAAATAGGAAGTGAAGTGGTAGAGCACGTTGACCGCTTCACTTATTTGGGAAGTACCATCAGCCAGTGCCAACGGGTTGGTCTCTGACGAACTCTCAGCACGAATACAGGAGGCTCGTTTCGCATTTGCCAGTTTACGCCGACTCTGGCGTAGACGAGATGTTCGACTATCGACCAAAGGGCGGGTGTATTGCTCATCAGTCCGCTCCGTCCTCCTTTATGGTCAGCTGTGAGACCTGGCCACTCAGAGTGGAAGACATGAAAAGACTAGCTGTCTTTGATCATAGGTGCCTGAGCTCCATTTCCCGTGTAAAGTGGCATAATAAGGTGAGCAACATGGAAGTTAGGCGTCGAGTTCTAGGTAAACAGGGGAAATCAATCGACGAAGTCGTGAAGCTACAAAGACTGAGATGGTTAGGACATGTGTTACGTATGCACACCTAGTCATCGCCTCCCTCGACGAGCTATGTTAGCGGATATAGGGTCAGGCTGGAAAAAAGCTAGCGGCGGTCAAACAAAAACTTGGCACCAGTCAATGAAATCCACAACAGTTGGTCTAAGCCACGTAGGAAGGTGTAGACTTCCAGACTGGGGTCCTCCGGACGGTAAAAATCTATGGTTGGAAACAATTGGTGACATGGCTCAAAATCGTTCTCAGTGGCTAGCCCAGATGCATCCACTCCTTGTGACTTATGATCTCCAATGAAACTGTTTTGTTCTTCGTTATTATTATTCCTTTGTCTCCCTCTGCTCACTGTTTCGATTATGCTTTTCTTGTACATTCTTCTCTTGCTTCGCGTGCTACACGGAGTGTGGCGACTTGAACTTCCGCACATTTGTGCAAAGTTCTATGTCGAAAACAGACAGACAGACAGACAAATATTGCTGAGGCTGTAACTGTAATTCCATTGATCCCATTTTAAGAAACCGATATTATTTAAAAGACACTAATATTGTTATTGACTACTATTCTAGAATATTCTATGTATATGAAGATATATATAATTGTTTAGCCGGAAGAGGAATTTATCGAAAAGAGTATTTTTTGCTCGATTAATTTGTGTTTTTATAGATGTCTGAATGAATATTTTCGCTGAATTAAATACGTATATGACGCCATTTTTGGCTTATAGTCACATGCCAGTCTTTATGTGTCTAATATTCTATGGTTGGTTAAATGAAGCATACAAAGAATAATAGCATTCGGCACTCAGCTAAGAGTTGCCTATTTGTGTTGAGTGTGCAGTCGATTATATCAAAAATCTACGTGGATTCTTGTGTTCATCATTCACCTACCACTTAGATGATGAGAAACTTATGACTGGTTGAAATTGAGTTTCAAGGTCAAATTTAGCACATAAGTACACTAGTTCAACTTGTCACACTCCATAAAATACATAAAGGCGGAGAAAAAGAAAAAACAATCAGAGGAATTAAAATGGGCATAATTGTATAGGATTAAGAAGAGTCGCATATATACAGCATAAAGATTTAATGGGTTTGGGGTATCACAAACACATTAGGAACGATTTCAAGAGGTATTCCCAATAGTCTTAAGCCGTTGATCCTTAGAGTCTCAAGGTCTCCAAATAAACAGTTTACATATCCTTATATTATTATTATTGTTCCCCTGGGTTCCTAGTGGAAGACAGGACTTCAACTGCACGTCTCCACTTGCTTCTGTCTTCCTTCTGGTGTACTTTTCACCTGCACCCATTTTAGTCCATACTGTTTCAACTCCTCTTCACACGATCTCCCCCGTGTCACCCTCAGCCTTGGACGTCCCACTCGCCGCTTGCTTCCCTTTCGGCCTGGTTCCACTCGAGAAATGGCCTGACGCGCGCGCCATGTCACGTAGCGGCCTCCTTAGCGAGCGAGTGTCCAATCCATCTCCACTTTCTCCTGAATATTTTTCTGTTGGTTGGCGATTGGTTCTTGTTTTGTTTGTTTGTTCCCATAGTTTCTTGTTGGTGATGCTTTCCAGCCCGGCCATCTGATCCTCATTTAGTATAGAGCGATAGTTGACAGTTAGTTGTTGATAAAGGTGTGCAATAGCCAGCCTGTTGGAAATATTCTTTGTGACCCTCCCGCCCGCTGGCCAAGTTTCTCATCCGATCCATATAGAAGAACTGACTGACTTGACGTTTGTATTGGAAATCATTACGTGACTAAAACCAACTGTCACTGACTGAATGAATTGAAGACAAGTTTTGACTTGACCACTCAATAACTCCTTTCCAAATTAATCCTATGTCGGCTAACTGACAGCGCTTGGCTTGGCTCGCGCAACATATGCCCTAACCATCTCAATGAATGTAGTTTCACAATCCCGTCAATTGATCGCCTTCCCTATCTAACACTCTGCGCTTAACTTCAATATTACCCAGCATAATATACCATTCAATACGGTATACAGAACGTGAACATCTGTGGTCAAAGACAGTTAGCCTTCTTCTATCTCCAACAATCAATGTCTATGTCTCACAGACATAGAGAAGGGCAGATTGAATAGCTAAAAATCATGCAGGCTTACAGAAAATGTCACACAAGCCTATACAAACTATCTATTCGCATACTTACATTGCTACCCAGATTGCTGAAATAAGAAACTTAGAGGGGTGGGTGGGTGGTTGGAAAGAAGCCTGACAATTTTGCAATGCAACTTACTACAACTGCTAGCCTTGTAGAATCATTCGGATGCCAAGCAAGTCCAGAACATCCTGATTTCGATGGTAAAGAAAATGCACTATAATTTGAAGGATTTTTCAGCGGACTCAGTACCAGTTCATTGGTTCTACAAACAAAAGTGAAGAGAAAAAAAAAGAAAAAACACATGGAGAGGCGCTTAGTACAAAAAACAAAAAAGGTTAGTTAGTTCGTTTGTTGTTGTGTTTTCTTTTGAGGGGGGGGGGATATCGTGAGTTTACACAGCAAATACATAGAGTTAATTAAATATATATATATATATATATATATATATTCAGAGAAAAATCAAGTAGTATTCAGAAAAATAAAAAAAATTCAAAAGAATGGATACTTAACAAAGAGTACTCTTTTTGATAGCCCCTTCATTATCAGGCTCAACAGTTATATATACATACATTATAGTGAATGAATGAATTAGTGTTATGAACAACATTGTTGTTTGAATAACATCGAATCAATAATAATAGGAATGGGTTACAGTTCAATAGCATCAACATAACAATAAACTGAATGTCAGAAAAATTAGGAAAGATGATATTACGACCGGCCACAAAGCCAACCAGCCAGCATTGAAGAATCACTATCTACAATCTACCGGGTGCCTAATAAATTGCCAAAATCATCCCCGAAGAACCGCAGGCTCCAAACACCAGAGGCTATTGCTATCCTAATTCGCCTTAAACAACCAGTGCTCTGTATTCAAGAGAAGCAAGTCCAGTTAGTCATTACTACTGCCCTGGCCAGCCTTCAGTAGAGACTATAAATTCATGAATTAGTATTATTATCTTTCCTAATTTTTCTGACATTCATCTTATTTTATGTTGATGCTATTGAGCTGTAATCCATTCATATTATTATTGATTAGATGTTATTTGAACAGCAACCAGCTCAGAGAACACTATTAATTGCAAAATTAATTCATTCATTCACTATAATGTATGTATATATAATTGTAGAGCCTGATTATGAAGAGCAAGTTATCGAAAAGAGTAATCTTTGTTTAGTATCCATTCTTTTGAAAAAAAGTTTACTAATTTTACATTCTACATACCACACACATTATCTCGTTGACTTGGAATATGCAGACTATATAGTCCTTCTAGGCGAAGACGCTGACGAAATGCAGAGTCTTCTAAACACCTTGAGCCGCAATCTACGAATGTTTGGAATGCGATTCGCTCCCGCCAAATGCAAGATAATGTTACAGGACTGACTGGACTACACTGACTCCTAATTTAGAAATAGGGAGTGAAGTGGTAGAGCACGTTGACCGCTTCATTTATTTGAGAAGTACCATCAGCCAGTGCCAACGGGTTCATCTCTGACGAAATCTCACCACGAATACAGGAGGCTCGTTTCGCATTTTCCAGTTTACGCCGACTCTGGCGTAGACGAGATGTTCGACTATCGACCAAAGGGCGGGTGTACTGCTCATCAGTCCGCTCCGTCCTCCTTTATGGCCAGATGTGAGACCTGGCCACTCAGAGTGGAAGACATGAAAAGACTAGCTGTCTTTGATCATAGGTGCCTGCGCTCTATTTCCCGTGTAAAGTGGCATAATAAGGCGAGCAACATTGAAGTTAGGCGTCGAGTTCTAGGTAAGCAGGGGAAATCAATCGACGAAGTCGTGAAGTTACAAAGACTGAGATGGTTAGGACATGTGTTACGTATGCACACCTAGTCATCGCCTCCCTCGACGAGCTATGTTAGCGGATATAGGGTCAGGCTGGAAAAAAGCTAGCGGTGTTCAAACAAAGACATGGCACCAGTCAATGAAATCCACAACAGTTGGTCTAAGGCACGTAAGAAGGAGTAGACTTCCTGACTGGTTGGGGTCATCCGGACGGTAAAAACCACTGGTTGGAAAAAATTGGTGACAAGGCTCAAAATCGTTCTCAGTGGCTAGCCCAAATGCATCCACTCCTTGTGACTTATGATCTCCAATGAAACTGTTTTGTTCTTCGTTATTACTATTCCTTTGTCTCACACCTCTGCTCGCTGTTTCGATTATGCTTTTCTTGTACATTCTTCTCTTGCTTCGCGTGCTACACAGAGTGTGGCGACTTGAACTACCGCACATTTGTGCAAAGTTCTATGTCGAAAACAGACAGACAGGCACACATCTCGTTTATTTCGGTAAATGTTTTTATTGTTATTACACTATCAGAACATATGTGAGAATCACAACAGTGCCGACAATCATTACATGTAAAGTTGATGAAAAAATTTGAGAAAGCAATAGAAATATAGAGAGAAAAGTCAATAATTATAGATTTATTTATTTAGCACTCTATTTTTTCTAATTTCAATTTTTTTACTTCAGAATTTTGTCAAATCAAGGTAATTTTATTGGATCGTCAGGGATTAATGACCTGGTTCTTTTTCTTACTAACCACAACAAAACTTGATCTATGCAAACTAGGACGAAACAGCTATCCAGTATTCCCAACTGGTTTTCCAATAGTTGTGTAACTAATATCAGCTTGATGACCAAATCCTGCAACTAATCAAATCCCTGCCAGTCAACACTTGATAAAGTGTATTTGTTTGCTTAAAATTCACCCTTCTCAACTGATCCTTCAATATTAATGTTTAAGAGAAACCAAACAACACGACAGCCTAGTGATAGCTTTGTACCTATCGTCGAAGTCGTTTATATACAAAAAATGAGGATGGCTAGGTACCATTAGTGATTTGAACCTATAGAGACTGACCATCTGTGTGCGCGCAGATTGGTTGCTAGACGGTTGGTCACTGCATTATATGGGAATAGGATACACATTGAGGAAATTGTTCAGTGAAATCGCGTGTCAGAAAGTCCTTAGTCAGGAAACTAAATAGGAAGCAAGTTGGATGTGTATCCGAGGGCAACAGCAAGGAGATCGTTTGAGGAGTAGATAAGAGCCTATGTGTAATTTTTTGTGCAAGCTAAAGAGGACTGAAGGGGACAATACGGAGATGTTCTGTTGAAGCCTCAGTTTCACTCGGAACCAAAGGGAACAATAGAAATAATAATTAAATAGTAAACTTGGTGTGCGTCAGTGGTATAGTGGTTAGGACGCTCACCGACCATGCACATGGTCCAGGGATCGATCCCCGGCCACGGACGCACTCCTTTACCTCGCTAAGCCAGAAATAATGCTGGCGAAGAGGAGAGGTTGGGTGTGAGGCTAGCAGCCCCATCCTGCAAAAACCAGAATTGCTACAGAAACTTCAAGCCCTATGTTCCACTGGGGAACGTGAAGGATAAAAAAAGTAAACTTGATACATTATGGGCATCAATAGATGCAGTAAGCGAAATCGCATAGTTTGTGAGAGAGCTGAGACTAAGACCGGAGGCGCAGACCAAAACAGGTGGTCGTCTTAAGCAGCTACCGCCGAGCCTTTGACTTTGATTTTTTTATTACAGCTCGATTCCACTCCGTATTTTTTCGTACAGGTATGGAATTTTCAGCATGTGGATCGGTAGCCCAAATTTTGCAGGCCGACCACAGAGATCAGGTGTGCATCAGCAGGGTATCAAACCCCGGACCATGTGCATGATCCTCGAGAGTCCTAAACACTGTGCCACCAACTCACTTGAAGTTTGATTGATAAGGCAGTGAAACATCGATAGGAGCTATATTCATATGACTTCAGGTGACAGAAACAGGTTCATACGCCTCCGCATTGTGGAGCCCATGTACATTACATGCTCGGAATAAGGATTTCCTAGCTCTCCTAGGTAGACCTTAATGTCTGCCAGTACGCTTACACATGTCAGGCGTTCGCATTCGACCTTTCACATTTGTGAGAAACACATACTTTTCATTGTATGGAGGATTTCATAATGAGCTGACATCAGTTAGAGAACCATTGGAAAACCTGGGAGTACTGGACAGCTGTTTCGCCCGTCCTAGTTTGGGACTCTTCATCAGTACTCACCTAGGACCTTCGGGTTACAAGGCGAGCCACTGGGACCCGATCCAATGGTTCTTGGATTCTACTACTGAAGAGTCCCAAACTAGGACGGGTAAACCAGCTGTCCAGTACCCCCAGGTTTTCAAGTGGTTCTCTAACTGATGTCAACACATGATGAAATCCTCCATACAATCAAACAAAATCCCTGTCTGTTATCGACATAGAACTTTGCACATATGTGCGGCAGTTCAAGTCGCCACAAAACAAAATCCCTACAAAAATCAATACTTTTAAACATACTTTTCAATTCATTTTCAACTGCAACAATTTTAGGGCCCATTTAGTGCCTCATCATAGAGAGCATTAAACGTATCTATCCCTATCCAATAGCTTATTGGTCATTTCAATTTATTCAAGTCCACTTTTTTGAACATATTTTTGTCATATGCCAAGATATTAAGAATTGTTAAGTGAAAAGAAGAACTTATAGTATAAGACCAAAGGTAATCCTTATAATTCAGTTGCCAACTTAACTTACCTGCAACCGTCACTTTTCACCTTACTTAACGATAAACTTGTATAACAATGTAGTAGTTGGTTAATCATACATCACCAGAACATAACAGTTTACAGCAAAAACACAGAGAAATGGTCTATAAAAACAGGAAATGTCTAAGTGAGATAAGAAGCTGTTGATTTTCAAACAAACGAAGTCAAAAGAGACGTCATCTACTTTGTGAAAGATAACTTTTATCAGATAAACTAATAACAGGCAACAGACGAACATTCCTGTTCGTCCTGTGTGGTTTGATTCAATGGTAGAATGTTCACGAACCACACACACACACATGGTTCTGCTTCAATCTCCACCTGACGCCTTCCTCGACGGGTAATGTTAGCTGACTGACATAGGTTTAAGGCTGGGAAAGAGCTAGTCAGTGGCGGTCAAACCTAAACATGGCTTCACCAGTCCATGAAATTCACAACAGTTAGTTTAAGACAGCTAACCACGTAACAAGGTGTAGACTTCCTGACTGGTTGGTTGAGGTCCTCGGGACGGTAAAAACCAATGACGGGCTAGAAACAATTGGTGATATGGCTGAAAATCGTTCTCAATGGCTGGCTGGTGCAGATGCATCCACTCCTTGTGACTTATCATTTCCAATGAAACTGTTTTGTTCTTCGTTA